TTAAAACCTTTATTAATTGAATTACGCTCAACTTTTATTTCATATGAGGTCCTTTGTAAGCTCATAGGTGCAACTTGCGGGTCTGAACATTTAAGTGTGTATTATGTTCAAGATACGAACCAGTCCTATAAAGAAACTTAGGTCTTCTGATCACATTATAACTGCTATAACGATTTTAAATTGAATAAATATGCATTTACGTCCCTATAAAGCGACTTAGGTAGGGCCTTCTGATCACATTATAACCGTTATAACGATTTAAAATTGAATAAATATGCATTTACGTTCAACTTCTATCCCGTACCCCCATAGCGTTATAAACTTTTAGTTTACAGCCTTCTGAAAAATGAAAATTGAACAAAATATTTTGTTATATATATATATATATATATATTATATAATGAAAAAGTAGTCGTCACCCATCCTGGATTAAGGTCTCTGCTAAATTTACGATTTTTTTTTAAATAGTGCGGAGAAACTCAGAAATGTACTGTTTATTTAGTTTCTTGTTTTCCTATTGGAAGACTATTTTTAAATATTTATTCATATTTATTTATATATAAAAAGTTTTGTGTTCTGGACATAGCCTTTTGAAAATTAGACAGTTTTGAAAACATGTATTTACAAATGAAATACATACTGTACTATCTTTAGGTCGGTGGACTGTGAGTGACTGAGTGTGGAGTCTGTGGACTGTGGAGTGTAGGCCTGTGAGTGTGGAGTCTGGAGTCTGGAGTCCGGGAACTTGGGCTATCCGCTATTGGGTCTGGGCCTCTGGACCCTGGACCCTGGGGGTTTGGGCTAATGGCCAAGGGTCTCAGGGCCAGGCTTGTAGCCTTCAGCTTTGCCTTACAGCCTTCTGGCTTTGGCCTTCATGGCAGTGTGAGCGACGGCTTCACGCCCAACAAGAGAGACTGGGAGAGGCAAGGGCGGCAGGCCGGCAGCTAACAGACACAAATTTTCATTTAAAAAAAATAATGAAAGCCGAATGGAGTCAGTACTCAGTACTCAGTAGTCACCAGTCTCCGCCTTTTCGGTTCGACCAAATTTAAAAAAAAATGGATATAGATATATATAACCTGAGGCTGACAGCTAAAATTAAAAACCGTTTCTGCCACAAGTCAACTTTCCTGTTTCCAATTTACTAAAAGGCACACCGAATTCCAAGCCAAGCAACTGCAACTGTTCTCTCAAGTGGGACGTATAAGAAAGTGATAGTTCATACTTTAATGATGCAATGTTTTAGCAACATACTACACTTCTTGCTTTGAGTTTTGTTGTATACCAGTGCAATATTAGGAAAAGGATGAACAATGGACAAGATGTACGCTATAATGAGCAACAATCACACCAGCAGCAGCAGCAGCAGCAGCAGCTACAGCAAGCACCGTCGCAGCAAAATAGTCTAGCTCATAACACGACGCTACCACGATCATCATTAGATCAAGGACAGGCGCAACAACACAGGTTAGCACACAGCATGTCGCTACCACAACCATCCCTAGATGTACAACAGCGACAACAACAACAATTCCAACAACAACAGTTCCAACAACACCAGCAGCAGCAACAACAGCAACAGAATTCCCGAAGGCAAACGCTCAATATAAGCTATGACTTCAATGATCCCCAGTTCCGTATCGATGATCCTCTAGGCCTGCAGTCTGGGCTAAGCAATGTGGCCTCGTCCGATTCCGGTCCCTCTGGGGGTGAGTTCAAGAACTCTTCGCGTGCGTCTCTGGTCTCTATAGACTCCTTCTTACCAAACCCTGCGCGGTCATCAACAGAGAACCATAATGCCGGGTTAAACTTCTACGGCGATAGCAGTGTAGGTATGAACTTAGGCAATTCTAGTCGGCAGTCACCCTATGCATCACCTAGTGAGATGGGGAGCTCAACATACAGACAAGCGCCTAACCACTTCAATGCGCTTGGCAGTGGTTTGGGCCGGAGTATGGGTGGGGGTATGGAGGAGGTGATGGATTTCAAGTACCTCTATTCGCTTATACAAGGAGGCCCAGCAGACTCACTTGGAACGTTTAATGGCAGTAGTATTCTGCACCAGCAGGGCTCGGGTGCCGTACCCTTTCAGCCCCAGGCACAACAGGCGCAGGGGATGACGCCTGGGAACTATGTCGACCATGGAAGCATGCTGGGTAGTAACGGCAGCAGTGGGTTGATTGGTCTCAATAACACGAATGCGGGCTTGGGGAACGCGTTGAGTCCCTTGTTCGGTGCACGTTCGGTGGATGCGACTATGAGTGACGACAAACTCATGCAACAGCAGCAATTACGCAATGGTGTTGAGGGACAGGATTTATTAAGAGCGGGCAGCGTGACATCCACTGCATCTCACGGCTCCCAGCAGTCAAGCTCGCTTCCTTTGAATCGGGGCCTCAGTAAGGTATTTGAGTTCAAGCTCAATGTTGAAGTTGTCTGGTTTCCTGAAGCAAGTATATGTACAAAGATTTTGTGAATTTGTGTTGTCTTCCGTGTACATCATTGCGGACTGTGTAATCAAGTAATATATATATATATATATATATATATAATACAGTAATACATATATATATATATATATATATATATAATAATATATATATATATATATATATATAGTGTGTGTGTTGTTATGAATGGATGGATGGATGGAAATATATATGTGTGTGTGTATGTACATGCATATGTAAGTATACAGGTATACATGTATCTATGAATGAATATATATATATGTATATAAAATATATAGATATATATATATATATATACATGTATATGTATTTATATATATATATATATATATATTTGTATTTATATATATATGGATATGTATATGTATAATATATATATGTGTGTATATGTAAACATATATATATATGTGTGTGTATGTATGTATATGATGATATTATGTTTGTATATATATATATATATTTATATTGCATATGTATTTTGCATTATGTATTATGTATATGTTTATAATAACAATATTTATGTCATGTATATACGTATGTTTGTGAGTATATACCTATTATAAGTGTGTGTGTGTGCTCGTGTTTATATGAGGATGCATGTTTGTATATATAAATATATATGTGTGTGTATGTGTAGATATGTACATATATATATATATATATGTGTGTGTGTGTGTGCTCGTGTTTATGTGTGTATATGAGTATGCATGTTTGTATATATATATATGTGTGTGTGTATGTGTAGATATGTACATATATATATATATATATATATATATATGTGTGTGTGTATAGATATGTACATATATTTATATATATATGTGTGTGTTTGATGCCTGTGTACAAATGCATGAATACTTTCTTACGTAAGTAATATGGAACGAATACGTATGCTTGTATTCAAGAGTGCGAATTATTTGAAGTATAATTGCATGCCTATGCATAGTAGCACATATACAATTATTCACATATATATGTGTATGTTGTTTGTTTGTTTGTTTGTATATATGTATGTTTGTTAATTTGTTAGTTTGTATATGTATGTGTGTGAGCATGTACATATGTATATATATATGTGTGTTTGTCTTTGCCTGTGTCTGTGTCTGTGCATATATGTTTGTCTGTGTCTGTGTCTGCGTGATGTATGTATATTATATATATATATATATATATCATGTGTATGTGTGTGTGGGTATATATATATATATGTATGTATGTGTGTGTTTATGTATGTATATATATATTGTATACTATATATATGTGTGCGTGTCTGTCTGTGTGTGCAATCGCCTTTTTGAAATGATGTTTGTAGTGGTCATTGTTGCGGTAATATTGCTATTGACATGTGTCCATGTAATTTGAATCAATACAAATTGTGTATCTCTAGCGTATATTAGATTGCTACAGTTATAGGGGTGTACGCACATACATTAGCAGATGTATGTACATAGAGAGTCGGATTGTTTGTCTTAGCCGATGTATGTACGTCTGAATACAGGTGTGGTGCATGTGTTTCCAGTATGTGTAGTTTTGAAGCGTGATTTCAGTTCGAAAATAACTAGTGAGTATGGCCAAATGACCTCGTTTGCATACGACAAGTACAGTCGATCGGTATTATTCTTCATGCAGGTAGGTTTATGCCATGATGCCTCTATGTATTCGTTATGTGGCTGCACATTGCGTGCCGACGTTTCTGTATATATTAAATTCTATTCCAGATATTTATGATTACGCAGCTTCTGAATTCAACACTCCCTCTAATGCAATTCAGTGGTGTGAGCGTGTGTGTGGGTATGCTTTTTTCAGTAACCCATTCGCTATTGATCTGCTATATTTGCGTGTCTTCAGTTTTATCGACTGGGAAAGATTGCATAGATGCTGCTTTGCCTCAAGAGCTCTAAGCCTGTTTTTCTCAGTTTCTTGATAACATCCACGTTTTTGTGATAAGGTTTAACATACTGAAACACTCAGCTGGCACCCCAGTTATCCTGATATGCTTCGCCTTCAATTGGAATCTTCTTCATATTCGCAGGGCGATCCGAATCGAGGTTCTATCAGTTCCGAGTCAAAAACTCCGGGAGGTAGCAATGCCCAGCGTAAGCGGCCGAGTAAGGATGTCAGCTCGCATATGATCCGGTCTGTCGGTATTGTGCAGCACACACATGAGATGGAGGGGCACTTAGATTCGCTGCCGCCGCTACTACAGAAGGTATTTTATATTAGATGAGATAATTAAGCCTGCTGTTGACTATTCCTGTATCAATTAATTTAGCCGTAGATTACTGTTATATGTGTGTTTGTTCTTGCCGCTGAGTGTGGTTGTAATAAATATCTACCCGGCATCTAAAGCATATCGATTTTCATATCTTTAGGAATTTGTAATTGCGACCCCCGTGGGTACGGCCGAACGTTATGGCTGGATAAATAAGGGCGAGCTCTACTGTGATTTACATTTATCTATAATGTTTCATCGCGGCAATAAAATCACAGGAGTTATTGACGTTCAAAAAAGCAATCAAGAAGGCCACGATGGGGGACCGTCTACAGTTTCTACATCAGTGTCGCGAAGAACTGGGAAAATTCGCGCCATTTGTTGCGTACGAACCTACCGATAAGAATATGAAACGACTCAAGCTCAATACTAAGCACTTCTTCTCGCTCAGAGGTGGTTTTAATGAGGTATGTGTTCATTGAGGGCTTGCAATTGAATATGTATGTGTGTGTGGTTTTGTGGTTTTTGTGTTGTTATTATAAAAAAGCGGCCAGACGTGCACTTTTTTAGGTACCGTCCTCTACCCGAGGTGATTGTGCACAAATAAGCAATATAGTGTATGACATACATTGATTTGTAATGTGTGTTATATTGTGTTGGTCTTGATTGACCTGAACGGTCCTGGTTAAGACATATTCGTGTTGTAGTAGTAGGAGAGAGAAAACTACATTGAAGCTATATCCTCGAAACTATAACCGAATTAATTATCATTTGCACGCAGGATGCGAAAACAGAGAGCGCCCAGCAAGCCATCAATAAATTGAACTCGCTAAAGATGTTCTTCGATCAATTCCCTTCGATGCGCGTGCCCACCACACAACTGGTAATTGATTTGGATACATTAAGAAGTAAAAAAGTGTACAGTAATGTATGGCATCGCATGATCTATAATCTTCTCGTTCTGAGTTTAAGGTTCTGGTGTAAAAACCGATGTATGGTCAATATTTAAACAATTCAGCTTAATTGTATTTTTTTAATTCGCGTTTCGGCTATGGTCGTATGTCGCTATGGTTATAAATGATGGCCATATCAACTACTCGCCCTAGTGATGTATATGTAAGTGCCTGTGAGTGAGCACTCCATGCCTCTATAATATGTCCAGAGTACACTCAAGGAAGTCTAGTGTATGTGTATTGTAAATACGCTTACAATGTATTCGTATGCGTGCATTGTGCGACATCTGTCATTCTGTGTGTGCTTGAGCATACCTGCCGGCCTTGTAAATGGTGATCCTGACTAGTATTTTGCGTGACTGCGTGTATTTCGCACATTCGCAGCTGGTGGGGACCTGTGCTATACTGCAACGGGATCGACTCATTACCACTCCGCCTCGTGAATGTGATGTACACCTTTGTCTATACTATTATTCGTTTTAGGCGTGTCATGAACTCGCTCTGTCTGCCTACGGCGTGTGTCGTATAAATGTCTAATTTAGTGTTCATTGAGTGGACAATGTGCGCATTCTGTTCTTTATTCTATGCGGGATGACTGTGCACAACCTTCATTCTCTAAATGAACACGCGAATTGCTTCGATCTAAAAATCTGGTGACTCCGAGCATTCGAGCTGTTGTTTACGATACAAACAAGCCCTTGTCTGTGACCAACATCGCTCAATTAAACCTCGGTATTTTGTTCAGGGCAAACCCGAATCGAAAAGGATGAAGAGTGAGCCCGCTGATAAGGGGGCAGGCACTGCTGCGTTTACAAAGGCTAGCGACCAAATCACACAGCAACCGCTGCAGCTGCTTGTGTTTGACATTACAAATCAGGAATTCGAACAGTTCTTCCCGCGATGGGATACAAATGAAATACCTTTGGAGCCCTTTGTCCTGGAGGCTAGCTCCAGTATTGGTAACGTTTATCATCATTGTATTCCTTGCTTTCTGCATCCGTTCCGTGTGACACTTTCTTCAATCCTCTTTCAATCCCAATTTGGGGTCTGTATACTAATTGGTCAGTGCATGTTTCCCGATTTTGGTGTAATTGTATGTGTTTTCGCGAAATATTGGGCACCCATCGACGACTTTACTTTGGTACGAACTCCAATCGTATTTGGATGTAGAGACTTGAGAGCTCATAGCATGACAGTAGGTACTCACGTGGGTAAGATGAACCTTTGATTTATTCAGGACAATTACAGAGTCAATTGATGGCCGATAGAGCTCCGTCCGTACAAGATGAACCCATTGAAATTAATATACACACCATCAGCAAACGACTGCAAAGCGGCCTTTTCTGTACCACAACTACTCCACTGGTAAGACTATATATATGTGTGTGTTCTTGTGACTGTTACGCAGCATCCAACATTAAGCACCGTCCTATATGGCGCGTTGATCGGGTAGCTATTGTGGGCTTCAAGTCTTTCATTGAAGTATCCCTTTGATATTTTTATATCTTTTCGATACATTTTACTATCTTCCTGTTGTGTCTGGTATCCGAGGGGACTGATAGGATGGATCGCATCTGGATTATGTACATCATAGACGTACTATGCTGTTTCCTCGGTTGTACAAGTACGGAGAATTCTTCTAAATCCCGATGTGTTTGCTCCACCCATCGCTTGTAATGACAGGGTGGACTTACTGAGATTCGGAAGAGTAATCAGAACGGGATTGTGTGTTTACCTATCCGATCAAAGCGACCCCAGATGGTCACTTTCAGACACAGAGAATTGGATTTTCAACAAGTGTGCAAGTACTTTGACAGCCATACCTGGTAAGTAAGGGAGAGAGAAATTGACTGGTTTGCGAATGAATGGTTTTGGCCTGCCAAGGCTCATAGACTGTCGAATAGTTTGAGTGCACCGAATTAGTACCACTTGCAATTGTTTATACGCAATATATGCGCATCACTGTTGTTTAGTCAATATTGCAAGTGTTGACACATGTATTCTAGAAGCGTGTATACAGAAATTTGTCTATTTCTTTCTGGGTTCGTTGAATTGTGCTGGAGGGTTTAAGTTCTGCTACTTTTAAGCGCCGGCAGTTTTCTGGCGAATTACCTATGATACATCACTTTCGAACACATTTACAAAGTTTGAAGCCAACACGCATCTGCGCTTATCCATTGACCCCTCTCATACTCATGCATACATTCATACTGATCCTATACACGGAATTCTGCCTACCCATACTGGCCTACTCCTTGGAATAATACGCACTCGTACACCCATACATATGTTTAAGTGGAGTTGTAGAATGCAAACACACAATTGCCTCAAAACCATTCTAAAATATTTAGTGGTGGCGTGGTGTTGCTGACCGGCATGGCGGGTGTGGGCAAGACTGTGTTCTGTGCACGCTACCTGTGGGAACTCTTTGAGCGCGAGCGCAATGGAAACGCGGCAGCGTATCGGGTGACGCTGTGGCTGGACTGTTCGGGTTTGACCACGCGCACAGAGTGCGAGACGGCCTTTGCTGGATTCGCTAGTCCGGCCTATCTGGAACTGCAGAGTATGTGAGGGTTATATTGTCTGTATTCGTATGGCCTAGTGCGGTATATTTGCGTGTTTGTACTGTATGCATATGTGTATCTGAGATTAAAGTGCATGTTTTTTTTGTTTTTTTTTGTGGGATGCGTGCGTGTGGGTGATGAAGGTTGTCTCTGATGTGTCCGTGCTGGTGAAAATGTTTGCTACGATGGGCTGCTAACTTTGGTTTGGAAGAGTATGTTTGTTTGCTACACGATGTGTGGCAGATATGTCCATATGACTAGGCCTCCCCAATAGCCCGAATTAGTATCCGTAAATGTGCTGAAGCCACTCGATACATCAGCATGTGCTCTACGGCATGTTTATATCCTGCAGTCAATGCTGTGAATATGCTTCGTGTGCATTTGTGGGATTTGTTTGCTTAGGTGTCTGCGAGGGTTACGCGTTGGACACGCTTAATTCGCATGAATGAAGCTTCCGACCAATCGATTGTGTCTTCTTTTTCTTCTTCTTTTTTCTTCTTTTTTGTGGTGTTGTATCCAAAACACTTTCCCTCAGAGGTATGCATTTGTGTGAGGATTTGATCTGCTGTGTGTATCTGACTTGCACCATAAATTGCTGTTGTTAATTCGTTTTTCTGTCACATGCGAATTGCCTCTTGTCCGGGTTCATAGTAATCAGTCCTCTATCATTCTCACATATGCACATGCGTCACTTCTGTATCGCCTTATACTAATAAACCCATACTCACTTTCTGGTCCCCACAGCTCCCGATGATGCGAGCAATGCGCAGATCATCGAACACATCCTGTACAAGTGGTTCTTCGCGAACAAAGGTCAATGGCTCATAGTCGTCGACAATGTGAATGCCATAGGTGCTGAGCATATCTTCGATTTGCTGCACCCTATCAGCAGTAGTGGCAGTGTTCTGGTGTCTAGGTGTGTTTCTTCGGAGATTGGCTGTATTCGCGTGCTCTATCAGCAAACTGATCTCTACAGCGTATCTTGCCCCTGTTCCAGTTCGAACGCTGTGGATGACAGGCTATTATTCATCGGGAGTAATTTAAGGACGTTTATTCGTTTTGTACCTTCTGAACTCTGTGCAGTCACGGTGTGCAGAGGATTTTCTATTGTATGTGTTATCGCTGTCTGCTTCCCCTTATACCTCGTTATCTACTGGTTGGGCTGTGGTGATATTGCTATTGACATGCTAGCGTGTTTGAAAGCACCTTATACTTCTTGTTTGATTTCGAACAAATCAGGCCGCAAAGTGTTGCACGTGTATGTGTAAGTGCTGTGTGGAAGAGGCTTTGGTGCTGCCATTCTTCTCTGGGTGCCAGGGAGACATTGGTAACATAGCGTCTAGCTACTTATATAGCTTCAGTGTAGTGTGGGTGTGACTTGCAGGTGTATATAAGTCCACGTCCTATGTACCTTCAGTTTTTTGTTTTTGTTTTCGTTTTCAGGATTAGAAGCACCTATTCATCCTTGTTTGAAACTTCCCCACTCACTTCTCACCGGCATCAACCCCCTCACCACCCCGCTTGCTTGCAGTCGATGGAATGAGATCAGCCTGAATGGCAATGGTAAGGATCTAAAGTTGAAGTTGGATGTGGTGGCCTTGGACTCTGCGGTAGAGTTCTTGGTCACGCGCTCTGGGATGTCCGAGCAGGCGGCACAAACTCAGCTGTCGGATATCGAAGGGGTCGCCGAAAAACTGGGTAGACTACCCCAGGTGAGTGTTATAGCTATAAGCGCGGCACAATGTATGTGTGCAGTTTCACGGCAGTTGCTATCGGTACGGACTATGCTTAAAGTAGTGTTGTATTTCCTATTGCTCGCACCCTTGTGAACATCATTCCTTGAGTTTTACCGTCTACCCGCCACCATTGTTGCATTACTGCATTGCGTATAAACATCGGATGAAGTGATTTCATAGCCCGTCACATTTGGCCAACGACGCCGCCGCTGTGCTTCATTTTGACTGTCTTGATGTACGCATTGTAGCATCTAGTACACATACAATAGTACAAGATGAGCTCCTGTGAGTGCAGCCTGACTCCGCTACTTGCTGACTTCGTTCTGGCACTCACATATGGAACGCTGCGCACACGATAACCTGAATAGGCGCTGGATATTGTGGGCGAACGTTTGCGCGGCTCAGTGCAGACATTCAGCGATTTCAATAAGTCTCTACAACACACCGGTTCGCTGAAAAGTGTCCTCAGCTCACTATCCCCCACTGGGGCGCAATCGCTTCTGAGTACATTCAGGTAAAGTGATTGTGTTCTAGAAGTATGCTTCTGAAAATGGGATTTTGTTTTGTTTGTTTGTTTGATTTTTAGCATTTCAAATATTTTTATTATTAAAAGAGAACATAGGTGCTGTCATGTTCCATCCACTGCCCATTTCGGCACATTTTGCGGACTTTGAATTGGGCACGGAAAGTAAAGTGTTGCCAATGTCACTTACATTTAATTTGGACTGCTCTATCCGTCTAGTGCGAACCCAAGTATCAATAATACCAAATGCTCTCGACTATCACTATCCCACGGACACAGGCAAATTGCCTACTCTATCCCAGAAGGGCCCTCTACGGAATTGCTGAATATCATCGCCTATCTACCGTCCATTCACATCCCAATTGCCATCTTCACTGGTTTTGAACATGCGCGACACGACTTCCCAAAACAGGTCAAGGTACGGCGTAAGGTCTAACCTTCTACTCGCGAAACTCGATAGATCCGCGTACTAAATTACCATCTGTTCAGGCGGCGTGCAGTTTCACAATTTGTCTGTTTTGTGCAGGGTGCTCCCCGCCTTGCTGCTAATGGTATCACGCACAAGTACTGATATCATAGATGTGACGGCCACACACATAGTTGGCCCGGCACAGTAGCGCTATAGTTCAGTCTGTACGTATCCTACAATACTCGCGGTTGACACCCCGAAAACCGTATTAAAACACGGGTGGAGTCACTTCGAAAGCTCTAAACGATCGCCAAAGCAACAGTGCTATATCACTCTCATTCACTTTATCGCTGACGTTGAAATGTATACTGACACATCCACAATTAGGTGGCCTTCCCTAATACCGAACTATACCGTGCACTCGAAGGCCAACCGCAAGCTATCCATTCGATCATTGCGCCGTTGTTGAACTCCGCTGTTGTTAACAAATTGACCGAAGCGACGGGTGTGCTCGGAATGCACCCGGTGGTACAAGAGGTGAGTAGGGGTGGTGTCATAAAGAACACATCAAAAGACACATATTGTGTGTGTATGTGGGGGGAGAATGCCTTCGGGTGGTGCACGATTTGATTAGAGCTGTACTGTAAGTTAAAGTACCAGTGTGTACTTGAAGGACAACCGGTGGTGGAAGAGTGTGGCAGGAATGATTCCCTTTCGGCCCGATGTGTATATGATCCAAATCGATACACAGGTCATACTGTCATCGTGATGTACCACACCACTGTATTCTCCCAATTACTTTGTTCTAACATGTTCCTCTCGCTAACCGTGCGTCACGTCATCAGATTCTCCGCGAGCTTATGAAACCGGAGGAGTGTGTCAAATATCGGTCAGCCGCGGTGGAGTTGTTGTACTCGGCACTGTGTGTAGAGCGCAACGACGACGACAGCATGTACTCACTGGGAATTGATGCGTTGATTCCCCATGTGTGGGATGTGCTCAGCAACAGTAGCAGTGTGCAGGTGAGTGTATCCGCGGGTGCACCGCCTACTTTAGAGTAGTTGTTATTGAGTCTTGTACGAGGAATCCCGTTTCATTGTATATTTGGATTGGATCTGGTAGGTTTGTATGTTTTATGGGTATGCGCCTCGTATGCCCTTGTTGGGCGCCCTCCTGTAGTGCGATCATATTTTTCAATGGTAGAACTTTTTTTTCGCGAACCATTCATTTCACGTATCTCGCTAATATACATGATTTTAAGTTCCGTTGATACATTCCACGTCGAAGTCGAAGCCATGTTCCCTTACTGAACCGGCTGCACCGCATACGCTTGTCCATGCCATCTTTAGCAGTGCTTTCTATGTTGTGCTTTAGCTCAGCCAGAATTCTACGTTACCTACCCACTTTCTATCACACTCCACATGATCTTAGACATCGAGCATGGCGTGTCTGGGACTATGGTGTAAGTTCGGCGAGTACGTCAACTACATGTGCCAGTACAGCATGGTTGGCCCTGCTCAGAAGGCCGATTTCGGCCAAGCAATGTATCTAGCCAAACAACGGGGTATGGAAGCTTCGTGCAAACGCCATTTGAGAAGCAGATTGTGTGTTCTGAGGAGCACGGAAAGCAATGCATATACTCTTTCACTTAGAAATATTCCCGTTTTTATGTCTTGTTAATTTGTGGGCATATTAAATCGGTTTGCAGGTATTGAGGATTCTTTCCAGGATATCATGCTCGCTTGGGTACGTTTCAAACGACAGCGAAGAATAAACTCATGTAAGAATATAAACCTGGTTGAGAGTCTGATCCATAGATCCTCAGGAGACGCTCCAGACGTTGATCCTCAGAAGCATGCCACTACCGATCAACAGCCATACAACCAGGAACGCGAACGTATGTAAGCTCGCGTCGTTTTTCTGCTTGCTTGGGTAGTCCGGTAGTTTTCTAATGTTTATAATATTGAGTTTAGTACAATCACGTTTTGTATTTGTTGATTGCTTGCACGATACCAAGTGTGGATCGCGATAACCATTTGCGGATCGTCTAAACCTGAAATACAAAATGACGAACGTTTCAGCCTCATTTATATCCGATCTGATGATCAGCATGGCTAGAGCTACAGCTTCACCGTATCAATTTCTTATCGTCCATCGTGACGCCATCCCGTCCATCTCCATCACAGAGGGTGCTGCAGAATTACCTGCGCAGATCCAAGGCAAACTGGTGTCGCAGCTGCACCTCCGGCCACTGGACCAGAGGATAGTCAACATGGTCTACAGCAAGGTCATGGTAGAGCCCGTTACACACCCTCATATTGTCACGATATCGCCCACCGCATGCGCATTGCTGGGTGTGGATGGCGAGGCTACTCTGGCGAAGGAGGCGGAGTTAGCTGCCAACCTCATGTCCGGTAATCAGGCGATAGAGGGGTCGCAGTCTACGGCGCATTTATACTGTGGCCATCAGTTCGGGAACTTTGCTGGACAGCTGGGAGATGGAAGGGCACATTCGATGGGTAGGTACCAGATTATATTGGGTGGATTGTTTATTAAATTTTTCTGCTGTGTTTCTATACACCATATTGATCACCACTTGTATACTTGCAATTGTAGGCATACGCTGCCACCGAGATCCTCGTAGCAACGAACGGCGGCATACTGATCGTTCAAAACGTCCACTGCTGCACTTCATTACCCATCTCTATCTATCAACCCATCCTTGTATGTCTTGTCTCCTCAATAGGGCGAGTGGTCTCACCGCTTGCTGGGCACATGGACAAGGGCGGCTTTGACGCGTCTTTCGGACCGTTCGTTGAGCTACAGTTCAAGGGCTCCGGTCGCACACCTTATTCGCGCACGGCCGATGGCAGAGCTGTGTTGAGAAGTAGTATCAGAGAATTCCTATGCTCCGAGTACATGGCTGCCTTACGGATTCCCACCACTCGAGCAGCGATTTTGGTGAACTCAGACACACAGGTATCCCTTTAGGTTGTGTTGTTGTGGTGTGTCTGACTATATGAGCAGGGGAGGAGTTATGTATGATCTGCAGCTACGAACGAACGGGTGTCGTTCGCGTTCTACCGGATGTTTCGTTTTTTGGTTTGTTTTGTTTTTTTGCTTTTTTCTTTCTTTCTTCACATTGTTGTCGATTTTCGAATCTCTTCTTAATTGCCCATAAAGCAGCGAAATTTAATAGTGCAGGATATGCTCGGACTATTACACGTCCCCTCATTCCCGACGAACATGCGATGATGTCCATAGCATGTAATCAACCCGTTCTTGGATGAATATTTTCTTCTACCCCAGGATTTGTTTCTGAATTCGCACTGCATTACAATTTCGACTATCAGGTGACCAGAGACCCCCTGTATGTAGGGAAGCCAATCCGCGAAAACGCTTCCATCGTCAGTCGGTATGTTCTGTATTTGATCCTAGATTTAGCGAGTATCCTGTGGGTTTGCTTTCACCACAAAAGCGCATGTACCGAAATTATTCTTTGTGATATCACGTCGGAGCTGTACGGCAACAATTTACGGCATGTATCATGCTTGTCCTCAGGGCGTAGGTAAGGCGTTTGACTGACTCGTATCCCGGTACATTTTTATCGCCTATGCAGTATTGCACCTTCGTTCTGGCGAGTGGGATCGTTTGAGATCTTCACTGCGGGTAAGAATGGGGTGGAGGGCCCCTACGCCGGGGAAATCGACCGTTGCTCAGATATGCTCGACTTCTACATTAAGCAGCATTTCAGTCACATCTGGAAGAAGTTTCCGCACGGCAAGCCCAGGTGAGTATGGGTTTGGTTTGATTTGGGGTAAAAATTTACAGTTGATACTTCTATCTATTTTGTTTTTTATAAGTTCGTATGACCATGGCTACGGACCATATTAGAGGCGTCAACTGTCATCATCCGTATATTTATACCATTCCTATTCGAAACCTTATTCTATAACCCAGCTTTATGATAAGCAGCGCATATGCTCCGGTTCTCCTGTACGAGACTGATTTTATTACTTGCATTTATAACACCACCTTGCAGATATATCGAGTTCTTCTCCGAAGTCTGTGCTCGAAATGCGCGCACCGTGGCCATGTGGCAGAGTGTTGGGTTTGTACACGGAGTGCTAAACACGGACAACATATCTCTGCTCGGCCTGACACTGGACTACGGGCCGTTTGGCTTCATGGACAGTTTCAACCCGCACTATGTACCCAATTACAGCGGTATGATGTCATTACATCTATCCCGTATTGTGGCTAATGGGTCCGTACTCGGATTGTCAATGTTTAGTACGCGTGTATCTTAGGTAGTCACAAGACTTTATTGCTTGAAAGTGGGTCGGATGAGCCTTCGTATAAATACTTCTCAAATGATCACAAGTACAAAATTACCAATCACTTCCTGTACTGATTGTCCATTTCCAGATACGGACGAGAGATATGCATACGAGAACCAACCTAAAATGATATACTGGGGACTTGGTAAGCTGGCAAAGGCGATCTCAGGTGTCGTGCCTCTGGATGAATTGATTGCTAAATTAAATCAGGTAAGTATCACATGTTAGTGCTATACGAGTGGGTGCCTTTGGTATCCCATGAATATGACTAAGTTCTCTTGCTTGCAATGTGAATACGCACGAGCCTGTTGCAATCGAACATGATCTTTGTCCGCTCATAAAATTCGCACTATCCGAATACCTCCTCATATTACTTGTTTACTAGAATGTGCATGTGTGTACCATAAAAATCAACGTGTGCAGTCATTATTTTGACTTACTTTCCATTACATCTTGCTATCTCGCTGCTGTACCACATATTGTCTATCTTCACCTGGTATATGCACCGTATTCTAATGACCCTCTCCTCTCAATACACGTGCCCTTTAGGTTTTCTGGCCAGTGTACGTGGACCACTTTCACTCCATCGTGATGCGCAAGTGGGGTATGGTGGGCCGTGATATGAAGAAGAGAAAAGCCGCCACTCAACAGGCAGAAAAGAAAAATGCCTCTGCAGGAACAAACGGGGTCAACGAAGATAGTGGGAAGGTGGATTCCAGCTCACTGAAAGTACCCCAGGCAAAGAAAAACTCCGCATCGACATCTAAAACTGCTTTTGCAGATGCCGATGTGTTAGATGGTATGGTTTGGGCGGGGGGGGAGGGGGGCGTGTATTGTTTTCTTCTTGTTTGTCTGTTGTACTATTTTTGTGCGAGAAGTGTCTATCCTATCCCGTTGTGACAGTGTCTATAAGTCACTTGCAACGGACTCTACCATCTGTTCATAGGACAAGGCCTTTATATAATGTCGACAAAAAACGTATGTAGCTAATGTTTTGATTTGTTTTCCGTACATTCGTGCAGACGCCATCTACGACAATGACGAGAAGCTCATCAGCAGAATGATGCAGACCATGGAGGAGACGGGGGCGGATTTTACCAACACTTTCAGATGCCTGTCGAACATTGTAGCTCACGAAGGTTCGTTTTCTATGTCTTCTCGTTATCGTCTAGTGCTGTGTGTTGTTGTTTTGAAGACTCCGTACTGACGGTACAAGATTGGCGATTACAAATATCATTCATTTCATAGTTGTCTGAAGGCTGATATCCACATCGTGCAACTTTTCTAGAAGCGAGGTATTAGTTTTGTGCTTCTGGCAGCTCACGGTGTTCGGAATCAGGATGATAGCTCAATTCTACAATTGGATGCATTTTGCACGCTCATGTCCTGTCGAAGTACGAAATCGCATCATTCATCTAATATGCAAATCGAATGCTCACAGATGGACCTGAAAGCCCGGAATCACTTAGCTCGAGAGAAAATGTGTTGGACTACATAGTGTCACAGTTAGATGACGGTCGAGAAATGGCCAATACAATGCCATACGAGGTAGAATACCTTAAGGTGTTGTCTACATTCCCAGTAGAACACGACGATGTGCTACTGGCACTAACAGGTATGCAGAATGAACAATCTATATTGACATTTATGTACTTTGTGTTGGTGTTTGTCCAGTTGAATATGTGTGTACGGCTCATTGGATATGGGAGAATGCAGGTGCCGCGTGTTTAGGTAATGTTGTGGATTTATTGATACAGCACAATTTCTCTCGGAAAAGAAACCGTACAGTCAAAATGGAGTTTTACTTCATATTATTTACATAATAATAAATTTTGTTAATTTAAATTGCTGTTTCATCAATTATTTGGCTTGTCATTTGGGTCGGTGAGAATGTTTGGATATCAACCCAATACTTCGTACGTTTCCGGATATGCAATCTCTTGTTCACACCAGCTACTCACAATCTACATTCGCATAGGCAAGCACGTTGACTACTTCAAGCAAAGAATGGAGTCAGTGGCACGTGCAAAGCGTCTGGCCGCCGTTTCGCCGTTCCAAAAGGATGATGAGGACAGAGCTAAATGGGCCGCGTGGCTGAAACAGTACCAATCGTATGTAAATGATGATTGGAAACTGGCCGAAGCCTCTGGCGCGACTCTGACTGAGTACAACACGCAGCGAGTCACCATCATGAACACGACAAATCCTAAGTTCTGTCTAAGAAATTATATGGCGCAGAGTGCCTTCGAAAAGGCAAAGGTGAGTTTGTTGAAGCGAAAATTTGTGTTCATATGTAGGTGGACTCTGTCAATTGGAGGGTAATCTATATATAGGAGTGTAGCGATGACTTATATATCAATTCTTGTGCAGTCTCTAATCTGCATGATAGCCATATGGTTGAGCGTGTGCTTTGTTGGAACTTGTGTTCATGTGTGATTTGCTTGTTTTATACAACTATTTGTAGATTCGAAGGTAGACCTGGCTATAACCTCATGCGTGCTCAATATATCTTGTTTGTATGGTACTATGTCTGCCCGACCGCGATAGTTTTGGTTCTCGTGTAAAATTTACACGGTGAAAAGTGGCATTCCACGCCGAAAACTTTCGTCGACAGCTTGGTTTGTTGTTCATCTCCGCATTTGTGAATATCCGACACAATTGCAATATTGGGCTCGATATGTGAGATTTCTCTCTAACTGCATTTACTGTCCATATTGCTTGTTCTCACCCATAAAACCAAAGCCATGCAATAACACATCTGGACATGTCGATGATACTTTCATAACTCGTTCGATTGCAGCTGGGAGATTTCACTGAATTGCAAACGTTGACCAAAATTCTGAGTCGTCCTTTCGACGAGTGGGAACAATATGAATCATTGAAATATGACAGGTGCGTGCAATTTGCAATTATTCGGAATCAGCTCTTTACAGCTTTTCGAATGTAACTGGTTCTAGCCATACAATCGTGCACGTTTGGCTGAAGAATATTATCATGGCAAGGGTGCTCAATTACAGCCATTCTCTATCCTGCACTCTCCAACAGACACGCCTCTTCATTACGAATGTGCATCAGTTGCTCGAGTTAAAACGTCAGCCCAAAATAAAGACGCACGAGATCTTGGTACAGAAACATAATCAGACAGAATCAGCTACCTATTGCTTAGACGAAACTGCCTTATAGTGTCGTCTATTCATTATATTTACGTACATATATAGCGTCAATTTGAGCAGCTGCCATGGAGCGTTATATCTCCTGACGAAATAGATGTCATTATAAAACGAGAGGCGTCGATAATTGCGAGCTTTTTTTTTTTTGCTACTGAATGGCATTAACTTTCGTTTACCTATCGAGTGCTGTATTGAGTCTACTGTAATGAGTCTACTATGATTCGTGCCGTTCATAAAGTAGGCTTGTAGAGTTCATGATACTTCAAGAAAAGTGAATGGGGGGTAGTTTGCTTATATGAAGACTGGCTGAAGGCGAAGTGTCTATAAGTTCCTGCAGCCTCGGAAAGACCTTATGCTACTACCCTGGAAAGATCTTACGCTTCTATCTCCCTCGGCTTTGAATCAAGGCGAACAGGAATATATAACCTTTTTTTGAATACATAAATTATTGTTCGAAATGTATTGCAACCGCTTGAGGCATTCAATTCAATATATTTTTTTTCCAAGAAAGGAAAGAAATGTATAACTCGAAGCGGGAAACATTCTCTAGATATTCAGGGCGAGTCTTAACGATTAAAGCCAATTTAAAGTATATTAAAGTTGAAAAAGGGCCGACGTGCCTTGAAAGTTGCGCTTTCGTTCTCACAGGTGGGGGCAGGTGCATTTTTTTTTACGTACTTTTTTTAGAAATTTACTCGAGACTGTTAGTAGAAAAATGACGTCACACCCCCTTTAACGGAAAAATAAAGTGACCTTTTACGTATTTACTTTAAATATTAGCGAACCACGAAATTTTGTCTCCTTTTTGATACCAATTAGTTTCAAAACAAAACCCAAACCGGCTATAATTAATACACCATTGGCTCACGACCTTTAATGCCTTTAACCTTTTTTACCTTTTTTTTTAACACCCCATCCATGTACTAAGGGGATAAAAAAGGGCCAAAAATAAAGAAGCGTTCCTGATTTACTAAATCTGGACTTCAATTTATTCCCAATATTTTTTGGCATATTTCAAGATTAAGTATTTCGTAAAGGATCAGTGAAGGCGACAAGGTCGTAGTACAAGTAGAACACCTATGCTAAAAAGTCTAACACTACATCGGAAACCTCCAAAACGCGATTATTGGGTCTAAATATGCATAAATAGTAAAGTTTCAAAGTTGTCACGTACAATTATTTTTAAAACAATATCCTATTTGCATCTTATAACCGTAATGCAAGCTACAGCTGCTAAAATCGAGAAAAAGTGTGTTTACGTCATTTGAGTGCCTTGCCACGATTGCACGATAAATCTCATTTCCTGAACTTTTTGCCAAAATTCACTACTTATTCACCTACAAACGATTATAATAACATGATTATTGTTTAATTATGCTTATATAGATGTAACGAATGTCTGAGAATCATATTGAAGACATATAATTGAATATGCACACCAAATGGATGTCATTGATGGACACGCATGCACGTAAATGGTGATTTTGAGCAAGCATAATAGGCCTTCTATACCACAAAGATGATTTCTGAACTAATAATACTTGTATTTAATATATATTAGAACCCTTGGAAGGTTCAAACTGCTAATACTCGACCTGAAAATCCAAGATTTGACAAGGTCGAAAAGTGCACAATCCTGTTCATAAATCGATACATAACTGTATGAACCAGTAGAGCTATCAACTTGGCTCCTTCGCAAACCTATTTTGAAAGATTTTTTAGAAAAAGTCTAGAAAATAAAATTGGGAGTATATCCAAAACCGGATATAGTGAATTAGGGTTGGTTCTTTAAAATCGAGTCCCCTTAGTCTATGCATGGGGTGATAAAAAGAGCGAAAATTTTAAATCGTTTAGACTCGCCCTAAATAAATATTTAACGCTATAATACCCAAATTGGGGGAGAAATTACAATTAAAACTGATTATTTTTTGTGTTTGTATATATATTAAAATATATATCAAAATTCATCCCGGCTAGCTCAGTTGGTAGAGCGTTTGACTTTTAAATATAAAGTTCATCGAAAGGTCGGGGGTTCGAGCCCCCCGCTGGGAAATCTTTTCCGTAATTTTTTATTTCTGTTATTTACTCGTAATTTAGCCGGGAATTTTGTTGGTAGTCAAAAGCAGTCATTATGTTTCTTAGCCAAGTAAAAGAGCGATTGGCTCCAGATCCATGAACTTATCGAAATACTTTTTTTGTTTCTGGGAACGACAATAGACAGGTGTGTAGTTGAAGCATATGATTGTCCCTGTGTGTGGTTTGCGAGTGACTGGTCAGAGTCACTGTAGTATAGGAATACCGAATCAACGGATTGTGATGGTACTCTTGGGCGGTACACTAAAACATAGATATATTGGAGGATGTGGAGAAGTGTTGTATAACGCCCTTTCACCGGCGCGTTGCTAAAGGCCGCAGGTCGATTGAGTGAACAAGTAATTTCTACGCGCGTCATGTTAGCAGCTTAATTAAGAGCACCAAGGAGACTTCCATATTTGCCAAAGAACGGCGGACCGGTGAATGTATCAGGGTGATGGGGCGTGCCAGGTTTTGTTTGTGCGGGAGGTCGTGGGTGTGAAAGACATCAAGCATCTGGCGGATGTAAGCGTCATGTGGCAAAAAAAGAATATAGCACCGTCAGCATGATGAATAACTCGGAAGCCAGCAACATGAGCAGCCAGGTCTAGGCTAGTGAGCAGCTAGTGTAAAGAAAAGATTTGAAAGAGCCATATAGCGACGGCCAGGGAACTAACTGCGGGATGATTTTCGTCGACATAGATAAGTACAGTTAAACGACGAGAGATATGAACACAGTTACATTCGTCAGCGGCAGACTGATAAAATTTGCAGATCGGCGTTTGTCCCTTATATCATGATTTTCAATTCGTCCAGCCCGTTTCAAGCCGCACAAGCCATGGTGGAGTTTTAAGCCGGTGTTAGGGGGATAACGGCCGGGGTCATGTGAGCCCTATTGGGGGGTGCAAATAGACTGGGACATTCGGTTTTCCATACAGGAAAGCTAATGTCCAAATGATGGACATGAAGGTTATAAAAAGCTGCAAGGGCAAAGAGCAAGCGGCGGGGGGGGGGGGGGGGGGGTATCAGCATGCGCGGCCGGGGCATAGATATCAGCGTAGCTGTCGCCATGTTTTATAACATAGACATATTTACTATGTATGATCTTGACTGAGTCGTGGACGGATGTAGCAGAGACTACCTCAGCCTCTACTGTGTTTCAGGCATTCAGTGTCAATGGCAGTAATCCAGGAGTCCTATGACGACGATTTACAAGCAGGGGTAATAAATTTAGGAACCGAGGGGTCAAACATATATACTGCCTTAGTAAGTGTCGTACCAGTGCGTGTGCTGGGTGCGATGCGGCCTACGGACGGGACAGGGCAATGGGGCAGTATTATGGACAAAGATGTAGCAGATATATGTATCTGAGGACTCATGGTTAGGTGTGCCCCGAGATATAGTCCTAGGGGGGGAGTAGTTAGAAAAGAGGACCAGGACATGTACTCTTATGTGGCAGATGCGCCGATGTCGATGTACGGTGGGATTGACGAACGTGGTGAAGCGGAAGCGGGTCAGGGGGTTGTACGGGGCTGAATATAGCCAGGTGGGTAGATGTTATATGGCTGGCGAAAGGAGCTAGGTGATCGTATGACGTGCGTTAAGCAGAAGGACGCATGCAGTTAGGGGGTGTAGAGATTGAGGAAGACATAGAGATAGAGCCGGGAGAGCTGCCGGGAAGGGATTCGGGATGGTGGGGGGGGGTCGACTGGCGACGTAAAAGAGTGAGCCACCGTTGATGTAGACTGATGGCCAAGGGAAATGACTGTGAAGTATAGAAAGGAGAGGAGTGGGGAAGGGTAGTGAATAGTGAGAGATATATAACGGCGGTGGTGTGGTGGTAGTATTTGTGGTATTGAGCTCTACTCATCAGGTTTGCATGACATACTGGGATTACTCTATTAGCTAGGTTTTACAATTCCCTGACAACTAACCATCTTGGATACGAACTCGCATTTATTTTCTCCTCTACGATCATATATTTATCATATATTTACTACACACATATTTAATAACGATTGGTTCTTCTAGTTCAATAAGTATTGTGTACTATTAGATTATGTGCCAGTGATCCCACACTATTATCACACTATGTTAGCCTGGGATACCAATGACAGTGAGATTCTTCCTTCGTAAAAGGAAGATTTTACTCTAGATTGGACTCAACTCCGTTACAGCGGATCCAACTATGATTCATGGTACAATAAATTGTATGGTACCGCTGTTATTCATCGCTTGAACATTACCGCAGTTCTTGAATACAAGCCATCCGACCGACCCGAGTATGTCAAAAGAACTGTTCCGCGGGCCCCGATATCCGAACATGCCAACGTATCCACCAGTACCTTCAGTGAGGAAACCTAGAAGGATGACTCTTATCATCGCGCCCGAGCCATCCCCATTCGGTCCCTCTTTAAGAAACTCCGCCAAAAGTTGCCGATCATCAATTTTACGGCCTACCCTTGGGACCTCATGACATTCTTGATGAACGAGTATTCTTACTGTTCGCCTACTTGGAAGCATTTACTTGTACCGAGGAGGAATCTGTCACAGTATGGGCCGAACGTTGCTGTAAGCTACAGACAGTCGCAAAAAAACAAGGCCTCATCTTCACATTTAAATTCATCACACTGGACCTCTCTCCATCCTACCAAGACCAGGCACATCAATAGTTGATCACCCACATTTCCTTCGACGCCATGCGAACATTTGTATCAATGGCGACAATCTTACCGTGACCGTAAGGTTGCGATAGTCCCACAGTTGCCTACGTTTGCTCAAAATATTCGGCTATTTCAGCACCACCAGTGCCTCGTCAACGTCCACGTAACACAAATAGCTAATCCGCTGTCGCACCATTTTTTGGTATGCTGGAAAACCGCTCATCGTGTTTCTGTTTGCGCCCGATCGCTTGTGGCAAATACGGAACAAAGGCCAACAACGCAACATGTCCCGAGACTAAGTTTAGATGCAACATTTGTAATATGGATGGGCATTACGACATCTGTTGCAGCCGTAAAACAAATAAAATTAATATCAATTATT